AGAGAGACACAGTGAGAGAGGGAACACAAGCAGGGGGAGTGGGAGAGGGAGAAGCAGGCTTCCCGCTGAGCAGGGAGCCTGATGCGGGGCTTGATCCTGGGACCCCGGGATCATGACCTGAGCTGAACGGAGATGCTTAATGACTGAGCCACCCAGGCACCCCTAACTGGGCCAGATATGCTTTAAAAATTTTCACCAATGTTTTAAAAATCACAGTATCTATGTAAAAACTGAGATTTGTAGATTCTGCTGACAAATCAGAAGATCTGGCCACGCTGGGTCTGGTTTCGTGCTGGGTGGCAAGTAGCTGAAGGCCAGTGGTCCGGTTTAGGTGGAACACGTGTTCTCTTATGCCTTCCACTCCCTGGAGACCACCCTACCTTGTTTTACCCTTAAACGCAGCCTGCCTGTCCCTGTGGGTGGCCTGGTCTGTGAACCTGATTGAGACGATTCCTCCCCCCAGGGCCTCCGTCCTGCTTCCTGTAACTCTCACCGGCCCCCGAGGGTCCTTACCTGTCGTATTTGCACGGGAGGTCAAGGCTGGTTCTGGCATTCCAGGAAGGTCAGCTGCAGACGGGGCAAAGGGGCTGGTGGAGCCGGGCCGATCTGGGAACTTCGGGAGGCTCTGCACAGCTGGGCCACTGGAAGGAAGCACTTGGCTGGCCTGGGGCATCTCGCCTACATTGGGACAATGGGAAGGGTTAGAACAACCAGGTATCCACCCAGGACCCCACTTGGGTCACCCCCACCCCATCCCAAAGGAGGCTGTGTGGCTTGGGAAGTCTGGGGAGGAGACTGGGGAACTTCCAGAGGAAGACATTTCAGGACAGGACTGAGGAAAGAACTCTGGAGTTACCCCTAGCTCACCGAGACTTGGTTTCCCCACCTGTGAAATGGGCACAGTCAGCTCACAGAGAGCTTAGGGCAAGTGCTACTATAACATTCTTCCTGCTATACGGTCAGTGCTCATTTGCCTGGAGGTCAGGTCAGGGATGCTCCCTTCCTTCTGGACCACCAGCACATTATACGAAAAACTGGCATACAACATTTAAAGGATGCTCTTAGTTTGGGTGGAAGTCTCCCCACCTGACTTCATCCTCTCTCCCATCCCTGAGAGCCCAAAGGGGACTTGCCCTGGGCAATTCACAACTCCTCAGTGTGGGAGGTCAGCAGAGACCATCCTGCCGATCAGGAAATAAGGCAATTCCAAAAAAGCCACGCAAGGATGCACACCAAAACAGTTCACCACTCTATACTAAGAGTGCAGAAGAGCCTCATTAACTCTTGTAAGCATCTCATTTTGTTTGGCTTGTGGATGAGCATGAATCAATGGGATTTTTAAATATAATAAAGTTTATTTTTTTATTTTTATTTTTTTAAAGATTTTATTTATTTATTTGAGAGAGAGAATGAGAGAGAGAGAGAGAGCATGAGAGGGGGAGGGTCAGAGGGAGAAGCAGACTCCCTGCCGAGCAGGGAGCCCGATGCAGGACTCGATCCCGGGACTCCAGGATCATGACCTGAGCCGAAGGCAGTCACTTAACCAACTGAGCCACCCAGGCGCCCCTATAATAAAGTTTAATACAAAGGAAAAAAGGCAAAACTAAGGCTTGGTGGGGAAAAGTGATACATAGAAAGTCCAGCCCCTGGGTGGGTGGGTCACTCACCCTGACCACCTTGGGGAGCTCTGCCCTTATGCTTTGATATTTGGGAAAGGGGGTCAGAGAAGGGTGTTCTGGGGATGGAGGATCATAAGAAGGTGCCAAATGCCTGGGGTTGGGGGAGGACAGGATCAGGGAGTAGTCAGGTAGCCGCGAGAAGGGATGGGGGGTAGGCTTTGAACACTCACCTTGATAAATGACCATACCAGACACCCCCGTCCCAGCCCCTGAGATTTGCCAGAGCCCCTGGGGCAGAGAGGGGAGGCCAGGGATGATCTGGATGCGTCCAGCAGGAAGACTCGGGCAGCTCAGCAAGGAACTGGAAGGGGGCACTGGGGAGACAAAGGCAGTGAGGTGGGATCCTCCAGAGCAGCAATGTTCGTAATCCTGTTCTCTGATTAACCGATTAAGATCCGACTCCCTTTCTAAAGGGCAGGCTCCTCTGTCCCCCCAGAGCAGCAGCTGTGTCTGTCTTGCCCGTGGTGGTGTCCCCAGCACCTGGCAGAGTGGCGGGCACAGACAAGGTGCTCAGTGCATAACTGATGAATGAAGAGAGCTGATGAGCAAATGCCCTAATGGGTGGGGACTCCCTGCTATATCTCCCAGGGATGTTTCCTTCCAAGACACATTCTCTGGCACAGGCTGAGCTGATGGGGACCCTGAGGATGGGACTAACTGGGATGGAAGTGGGTGACACCAAGGGGCGGTTCCTGTCCCTGGTGGGCCCTACCATGGCCACTCTTCAGGCACCCCCAGGGAAGGGGGGGTAGGAAGCCTACCCTCTCTAAGTCCCTAACGTACCAGGCATCAGGACGGTCTCCTCCAGCCAGATCTGGCTGGATGCTGGCTCCTTGTTGAACACAGCAGGTGGTGACAGGCAGGGCAGAGCTGCGGAGTCACTCACTGACCCGACCATGAACGTGCCAGTCACCATGGGCACAGCGAGGGGCTCAGCTGTGAGCAAGACGACCATGTTAGATCCAGGGGACCATGGATGCGATCTGAATGGGTGCCTGGCGGGGCCCTTCTAGGGAGGATGGCAGAAGCACAGTAGATCTCTCTCCGGGTGGTTGGAGGGAGCTCCCATCCTCTTTTCAGCCCTGGGTGAAACTGCTTTGTCTTCCTCACTCTGTGCCACTCAGGGACTGGTCTCCCCCACTTTGCAATAACAACAGGGTGGGATGAGAGGGCAGGTGGAGGGAGAGGAGGCAGCCTCTGGTGGGAGGAGACGGTGAGCCTGGGGAAGAGGCTCACTGAGGCATGGGGCTCTCGGGAGGCCAGAGGGCACTGGGTGACCAGCTGACCCTAGGTGACTCTGTACTCCAAAAGGAGAAGTGTGGTCTGGAGGGGCAGTGGAGTAAGGCGGGAGGCGGGGTCTCGGCTCTGACTCAGAATTAAGAAGGGGTGTCAGGGGAGAGGCTTTGTAGGAGAAGTTGAATCTCCCAGCAGCCTTCAAACTGCAGAGCAGGGGGCTATGGAACCGTGATCTTGGTTTGAATCCCAACTCCGCCTCTCACTAGCTGTGTGATCTTGGACAAGGGACTTCACCTCTCTGAGCCCTGGCTTCCCTGCCTCACAGTCTCCCCGGGTGCACCCCACCCTGCTCACCCAGCTTCCTGTGCTTCAAGTCCACGGGCAGCTCCTCTGGGAAGGCTGCAGAGAAAACATCATGGTCAACCGCCCCAAGGAAGTTGTGGTCCCAGCCATGAGGGGCCCATGAACCCCAGCAGGCCACATGGCCTTGCCTTAAATGGCTGGAAAGTGGCCTTGCAGCTCTCAGTCCCTCCCCTTCCTCTGACCCTTCCTGCCCTGCTTGTCCGCTTGCGCCCAAACCCCACCTTGAAGACCCAGGGCAGCGAGGGACTGGAAGAGGCCGAAGCGCAAAGGGGACACAAGACGCGTTTGAGTTTAGAAAAATAAAAATGAAAACAACAACAACCTGCTTAGGGTCCCTCCCTAGCCTTGTGTCTTTGCAACAGAGCCTTTCTGAACCTTTGATCGCTCATCTGTGAAACAGAGGCGGGGCTTCCTACTTTGCAGGAGTACATGGAAAATCGGTGAGCTAGGGACCAAGTGCCAGCACAGTGACGGAGGAAAACCCTATGTGTCCCTGAGCAAGGGGCTGGCGAAACAAATCACAGTTCACCCACCCAGTGAATTTCCACACAGCCCTAAAAAAGAACAAGAATGTTAACGGACGTATGGGGAAGTGTACTGGTGTCTGCAATTTACTTTGAAATGTTCCCAAAATAAAACGAATGGATGAGTGGGTGGAGAGAGGGATGGACAGATGGAGAGAGATGTGTTAAGGCAAATACAGCCAAACATCAACTGGAGACTGTTAGCGCTACATGGTTCTTTGCAGTACAATTCTTTCACCTTTATTCTATGTTGAAAAGTTTCATAGTAAAATGCTGGGGAAAATATTTATCAAATAAAACAAACAAACAAAAAAAGCAAGCCAGCAAGAGGAATTCCCTGGAGGGAACCGGCAACATAGGCTGTTTTCAGGGAGGAAAACTGAGGGTCTGGGGGACAGGGGTGGGAGGGAGATTTTTTTGTGTTCACTGACTATCCTTGCACCTTTTGAATTTTTATAGCATGCACCTGCTTCACCTGTTGACAAATGAAGAAATAGGTACAAGTCTGACACATGGTCTGGAGCATAGGAAGCTCTCACTCGACTGTTGAGCTCATTTTACAGATATGTTCATTCAGCAGACATTTACTGAGGCACTACAGCACGCCCTGTGTTAGAACTTAGTTAATGAGTCCAGAAGGCAAGAGACAAGATCGCTGTCCTCACATTGGGAACTAGTCAAAAAGCAAAAAAAAAAAAAAAAAGTCCAGATGGTGGCAAGCACTAAGGGGCTAGGAGAGACACAAACAAGGTGAAAACCAGCGAGGTGATCCATGTGGAAGGGTGGTCAGGGAAGGCCTTCAGGAGGAGGTGACATGTTAGCCAAGACCTCAAGGATTCAAAGGAGCCTGCAATGGGAAGAACTGGGAAAAGGGCATTCCAGATAGAACTGCAAGTGCAAGAGCCCCGAGGCTGGAGGCTGGGAAGGGTACGTGAGTTCTAGGAACGGTAGGAAGCCAGTGTGGCTGGAATGTCCTGGCCCAGGGCAAGCTTGGAAAGGTGGGAAGGACCAGATCATATAGGCCTTGTGTATATATTTTGTAGTCCTTGGAGCTTTAACAGGACAGCAGAATGATCTGATTTGCATTCAAAAGCTCATAGGGACTGCCAGTAAGGACAGATTAAGGAGAAACGGAGACAGAGTAGGAGGCTCAGAGAGGGACAAGCACTTGCTCAAGGCCACACAACCCATAGATAGCAGACCCAGGACTCAAACCCAGTTCTTGCTGACTCCAGAATCTATGGTTAAAGACACCTCCCTCAAATACAGGGGTGACAACTAAGGATGAAAGAGAAGCCAGAGCCCAAATGGCCTTTGGGAAATGGCAATCAAGACAGCCAGGGGCAGAGACACACCTGGAGAATGGCCATTAGCACCTGGGCTGTCTGCTTCTTCCCTGGGTCACCAGGGAACAGCAGTGAGGGGAGTGAGGGGTAGAACGTCCAAACCCAGGCAGAGCAGACAGGACTTAACAAGGGAAGCCACTGTGAGCCACAGGAGGCTCTGGAGCCAAGGCAGGGCCAGGAGTCAAGCAGGCCGAGGTCAGATCAGAGAGGGGCTTACTCACGTCTTTTCTGACTTTTCTGCCCTGCTTCCTCCAGCACCTCGACACTCTCGCTGATCATTTCTTCCAATCCTATGTGCTCGACTTCGGGAAAAAAAAAAGACACCAGCACGTAGTCAGTGGATGCCCAAAGTGAGCCTTCATTGTCCCTATGTTGGGGTGGGATCTGACTGCCCTTCAAAGGGTGGTCATCAGGTATTATGATGCTCCCCAAGGAACAAGGAAGGAAACGCAGGCTGAGCCAAGAATCCCCCAACTTACTGAAAATGTCTGTGCCCAGACCATCCAGTTGGGAGTCCTGAAACACGTACTGGTCCAGTTCCGCTGCCCAGACAAGGAAAAGAACAGTCAGTCCATGAGTTTTCTGAACACCTCTTGTGTGCCTGGTCTTGGGGTAGGTACCAGGGAACTGTGACCCTCCAGCCTTGGCACACACGGGGGTGCTCAATCAGCGTTTGCTGAATGAATGATCAAATTAATGAAGGAACCCTGAACCTTCATGGGCTCTTAATCTAATTGAAGGGATGATATGCATCCATGAAAACTTAACTATCACTGTCAAGTAGTACAATGCAGTGTGGTAGAGTTGTCACAGGCTTTAAGTTTAAATCCCAGCTCTAAACCCCATTAACCCTACTAGCTGTGCAAACTTGGACCAACTGCTTAACCTCTCTGGGACTCCACGGCCTCATCTGTGTAATGAGAACAAAAAATGCCTGCAACCCAGGGATGGATGGTGAGGATTAGAGGCTCCACCTCTAAGTTAAAGCATCAAAAATAGTAGCTAGGACACCAAAAGCACTTACTAAATAGTGGTTAATTATATAAAGTGGTACATGACTTGGAGCCCAGGGGAAGACAGCTATCATGGCAAGAGGTCAGAGGAAAGAGTGTATGGTGGCGCAGGTCTGTCAGGGAGGGCTCCTGAGGGAAGGGATCCTGGAGCCAGGCCTTGAAAGATGGTCACAGTCAGAGAGATGGGAAGTGGAGGGCTTCAGGCAGTGAGGACAGAGTGAGGAAAGTGTTTGAAAAACTCAGAGACAGGTGTCCACGGGAAAGTTTCATGCTGGGGGAAAGGTAGGGTTGATTTTATCAGCAATGGAGAGCCATAAAAGGGGAGCAGTGACCATGATGACTATGACGATGGTGATGGTGGTCGTGGAGGGGGGTGCCTAACTTACTCTTTGCAAATTCCTTTCCTAAACACTTTACACATAGAAACTCATCCAAACCTCAGCCATCCCATGAGGCGGGTGTGATTATTACACCCACTATGCACATATGGAAGCCCTTTTCTAGACATATTTCAAGATGCCTCAAATGACTGGATGCTCAGGCCAGAGCCTGGCTTTCTAGAAGCACAGAGAAAGCCCACAGACTTGAGCAACAGATTTGGATGAAGCTTCTGCCTCACCTTGCTTTGGCAGCTTCCACTTCCTGTGTAGATGCCCCCAAGCAAAAAGCCCCTAAATCCTAAGTAATGCTCAAATCCTTCATCACTGCCTCCAGATGTGAGGAATATGAATGCCCTCAGCACCAAACACTTCTGCTTCCTCAAGTAAGTTCCCAAGAAGGAAAGGAAGTGGGCAGATTTCTTAGTTCTGTAATTTTTGAGACACATAGTTACTACTCTCCATTTTCCACTTTGCGTGCTGCAGGATTAACTGTGCACTGGGGAAAGACTGGCCACATTCACGTTAAGCACAGACCTCCTGAGTGATGTGGTTCTTGGGTTGCCAGGAAAAAGGCCACAAAAAACGGTTGTACAGGTTGTTCACTGCACAAAGGTGCCCAGCAAGAGGACAAATGGGGGCTGCATCCTCCAGAAAAAGGGGCATCTTTTTCTAATTCAACAGAGCCTCTGTATGAGATAGTGGTGAGGAGGGAGCCTTTACCCCACTCCCCTCCAAAAAACAAAAACAAAAACCAACAGCAACACATCTCTCCAAAGAGTTCTGCCCTTATCTGAAAATAGTAGCCCTTTTTAAACCTGCAAATCAGCCTCTCAGCTTAAGCCTTAGAGAACCTCTCCACCCTAGACTCTTTCCTTTTCGTGGTTAAAAATAAGGACTTTGAAATGAGAAAGACCTAGCTTTGAATCTCAGAGCTGCCCATTACTATCTCTAATGCAGCCTTGGGTACACTGTTTTACCTCTCTAAGCCTCGATTTCCTCCTCCATAAAACGGAGATACTAATAGGATCTACTTCCTTTGTTGTTGTAAGGATTCAATGCAATAACACACATACCGTGATCTGCATGCAACAAGTGCGCCCAAATGGTAGGTATTACAAATACTAGAGTAGTCTGGCTTAGGAGCTAGGGAGAAGACAGGGAGGGGTATATGGTATGGGCTGTGTGGAAGGAAGGAAAGAAGAGCAAGAAATATAAAAAGATACAGAACTGGAGGCAGAAGATACAAAAGTGAGACTTTTTTTGCCTGGTGGTCATTGGCCAAGGGGTCAATCTCCCTTCTTCCCTGGGGTCTCTTTTCTAGCCCTTGCTTTGCATCCCCCTTGCCCTAATTTATAAGGGAGGAGACTGCTGTGGCTTGTGGTGAGTGGGTGAGGTTACCAAAAGAGAAAAAGGAACTCTTCCCCTCAACTGGCCCTTTTCTGAGTTCAGAATGCTTCCTCACCGATATTGGCATAAGCCTCCCTGGTCTCTTCATCACCTTCCATGTCACACAACAGTTTGCTGAACTGTTCGCAGTTGATGGTGTCCATGTCGGGTTCTGGAGGGAAAAGCCCCATGGATGAAGCAGGAAAGGTTTGGGAAGAGGGCTGGTGGGGAAGGAAGGAGGCGGGGCGGGGCTGGGAGAACTCCCCTTTGGAAAGCAAACAACACGCAGGCGTTTGGAGCTGTCCGCGGTGCTGACCAGAGTTCAGCGGCCAGAACGTCGCCCAGTTGCTGACTGTCTCCACCGCAGGCTGAGGGGGGTGAGGAAGGACTTGGGAGGGGCCAGAGGGAGGAGAGCCCACCTGAGCAGAGCTCAATCTCTTCTCTAGCCAGGTCCGTCTGGTCATAGAGGTGGTAGAGCTGCAAGGGATCGGCACTGCTGTTGAGAAGCTCCAGGTACCCGCCTTCTAGAGACCCAAACTCCATGGCGGCACACTGTCCGCTGCCTGGAAGGAAGACACATTTAGTCAGTGCAGGGAGCATTGGAAAGATGTAGAGAATTAACACCTACCATAGCTCCTAGCTGGATCACCTGGTGAAGGCCAGGGTTTGGGAGAGCCAAAGAAAGTGAGCAGAAGTACTCATTCAGCACCTCTTATATGCTCTGGGCAGTGGAGAGAGCAAGTCATATCTCCTTCCTCCAAGGAACTTATAATTGCTCTGGGAAGATGCCCACCATACAGGGAAAGGAAGTGGGGAAGTGTAGATTCAAGACACCTTACACCTGGGATCCAGGAGACTTGAGGTCCACATCTAGTGCTGCCATGAGTGATAACAGTTGAGATTTGTAGAGCACCTACCTTGTGCCAGACACATGGGCTAGCACATTCCATTCTCACATCAACAATCATATGAGGTAGATACTCTTACTATCCTCAATTTCCACATGAAAACACTGAGGATCAGAGACGTGAGATGACTTACATAAGGTGACCCAAGTCCAAGTGGAACCCAGATCTGGTTCTGGGCATTCTGACGCAGGGATATGCAATTAAGCCCTATGCTCTATCTACTGCCTTGGGTGACCTCGAGCAAGTCTCTGCTCCTCTCTGTGCCTCAGTTTCCTAATCTGTAAATTGAAGGAGTCGGGGCAGATTCTAAGATTTTTTTTTTGTTTTTTTTTTAGAGTTTATTTATTTATTTGAGACAGAGAGAATGAGAGAGAGAGAGCACATGAGAGGGGGGAGGGTCAGAGGGAGAAGCAGACTCCCCACCGAGCTGGGAGCCCCGATGCGGGGCTCGATCCAGGGACTCCAGGATCATGACCTGAGCTGAAGGCAGTCGCTTAACCAACTGAGCCACCCAGGCACCCCTGATTAAAGACTCTTAATAGGAGTTTGGTGCCCTAGGCACATCCCTTTGAGATTCTAAGATTCTTCATTTGGTGAAGGGTATATCAGATACCTTAGATACCACTTCATTCAATCTTCCAAACACCCTGGACATGTCCACACAAAAACTTGTGTATGAAATTTCATAGATGCATAATTCATAATAGCCAAAATATGGACACAACTCAAGTATCTATCAATAAATGAATGAACAAACAAAATGTGATAAATCCATACAATGGAATACTATTCAGCCATAAAAAGAATAAAGTACTGACACAGGCTACAGCATGAATGAAACTTGAAAACATGACACTCAGGGAAAGAAGCCAGACACAATGGGCCATAGATGGTATGATGCCATGTATATGGAATGTGCAGAATAGGCAAATCTTTACAGATAAAGTAGATTAGTGGTTGGTTAGGGTTGGGAGAGAGTTGTGGAAAAAACTGGGGAGAAAATGATCACAGAGGTGGGGCTTTTTTTGTGGGGATGTCAAAAATGTTCTTTAGCTAATGTGGGGATGGTTGTACAACTCTGTGAATATACTAAAAAGACCACTGAACGGTGCATTTTAAATGAGTGAATTGTGGGACATCCTGGTGGCTCAGTCGGTTAAGCATCCAGTTCTTGATTTCAGCTCAGGTCATGATCTCAGGGTCCTGGAATCGAGCCCTGTATTGGGCTCCACGCTCAGCAAGGAGTCTGCTTGAGATTCTTTCCCTCTCCCTCTGCCCCTCCCCCACTCTGTCTTTCTAAAAATAAATATTTTTTAAAAAGAAATAAATGGGTGGGGGCGCCTGGGTGGCTCAGATGGTTGGGCATCTGCCTTTGGCTCAGGTCATGATCCCAGGGTCCTGGGATCAAGCCCCATGTCTGGCTCCTGGCTCAGCGGGGAGCCTGCTTTTCCCTCTCCCTCTGCCTCTCCCCCTGCTCATGCTCCCTCTCTCTCTGTACCTCTCTGTCTCAAATGAAAAAGTAAAATCTTAAAAAAAAATGGGTGAATTACATCCCAATAAAGCTACAAAAGCAAAACAAAAACCGACCCAGGAAGATAGGCATTATTGTTTCCATTTTGCAGATGAGGCCAACTAGTCTCCCTGATAATATGCAGTTCTTGCTGGCTAGAGCCACTCTGAAGGCTTATGCCCACGGCTCCAGGTTCCTGCTCTACTCCTTAGTGGGTTCATTTCCCAGACCCCCTGTAACAAAGTTACAAACTGAGCAGCTTAAAACAACAGAGCCTTAGTCGCTCACGGTTCTGGGGGCCAGAAGTCCAAAATTAAGGTGTTGCCAGAAGCTCTAGGGGACAGTCCTTCCTTGCCTCTTGTAGCTTCTAGAAACTCTCGGCATTCCTTTACTTGTGACTGTGTGGCCGAATCACTGTAATCTCTGCCTCAGTGGTCCCATCATCTCTTCTTCATGTCTCAGATCTTCTGCCCCTCTCTTAAAAGGACACTTGCCGCTGGGTTTTAGGGCCCACCTGCATAATCCAAGATGATCTTATTTCAAGGTCCTTAACTTGATTACACCTGCAAAGACGCTTTCTCCAAATAAGGTCACATTCACAGGTTCTAGGGATTTGATGTGGACATATCTTCTGGGGGCCCCCATTCAACCTCCTATACATGAAATGCAGACACTTCCTGGAAGGACTCAGAGTTTCTTGGAAGAGGCAAGAGGAGAGCTGGCCTTGAAGGCCAGAGGACCTGCCAGAGCTTTCTGAGTGCCCCCACTTGGGCCGCAAGAAAGTGGAGGTGAGGGAGAAGGACCGAAGAGGGTAGGGTCGGGAGAACACACACACACACACACACACACACACACACACACCTACCTCACCACTGCCTTCCAGCTGCTTCT